TTATGCAATAAAATTCATCACTTTAAAATGTACAATTTGATGAGTTTTGGAAAAAAAATATATAACCATGTAACAATCACCAAAATCATGATACAAAACATTTCAATCAATCCCCAAATTTCTTTTATTCTTCTGTAGTCATTTCCTCTCCCCTACTTGCTGGTCCTTAGCGACCTGATACTATTCTGTGGTTTTGCTCTTTCTAAAATTTTATATAAATGAAATCATGCAGTATGTAAAAAACAGCATAATGCTGGCTTTTAAAATTGCCCATATTACTGTTTGTACTAGAAGTTCAATACTTTTTTTTTAATTACTAAGTAGTACTCCATTTTACAGCTACACCACAATTTGCTGGACAATAGACATTTTATGTTTTGGTTACTGTAATTAAAGCTTCAGTGAACATTCAAATACAACTCTTGGAAGAAATATGTTTTCAGAGATCATATACTAGTATGCTTAGCTTCATATTAAAACCTTAAATTGGCATTTTGCTGCATATTTTTGAACAATGCATTTACTTCAGTCTCTCAGTTAAAACAGAAAAAAACCCTTACCTGTAACTATTGAAACAAAAAAAAAAATCAGTGATCAAGTCCCATGCTACATCTTTTAAAAGTCTTTAGGACCTGATCTTTTAAAACTTCCAACTGACAGAACTTTCTTTGGATAAACTAGTCAGACTCTCTTTGAAGATAAGAGACTTTAAGAAAAATTTCCCTCAACATTTCAGGGATATTTGTGTTTTATTTGTAAATTCCCTGGATATTGTCCTTCCTATATTATTTCAAGTATTATCCTTCTATCTACTACCAGTATCATGCTGATGCTACTGATGCTTTTGAAAAAGAAATATGAGTCGCATTCCTTTGGGTAGATCCCCAGGAGAGGGATTGCCGGATCATATGGCAGATCTATGTTTAGTTTTTTAAGAAGCCTCCATAGTGTTTTCCTGAGTGGTTGCACTAGCTTGCATTCCCACCAGGAGTGCATGAGAGTTCCCTTTTCCCCACATCCTTGCCAACATTTGTTGGTGGTGGTGTTTTTGATGATAGCTATTCTAACAGGGGTGAGGTGGAATCTTAATGTGGTTTTGATTTGCACTGCACCTGCACACCCATGTTTATTGCAGCGCTAATCACCATAGCCAAGTTATGGAAGCAGCCAAGATGACCCCCTACTGACAAATGGATTAAAAAATGTGGTATTTATACACAATGGAATTTTACTCAGCCATGAAGAAGAATGAAATCTTGTCATTTGCAAGTAAATGGATAGAACTGGAGAACATCATCTTAAGCGAGGTTAGCCAGCCTCAGAAGGCCAAAATTCATGTGTTCTCCCTCATATGCGGACTTTAGACCTAAAACAAATGCAGTAATGTTACTGGACATGGGTCACACGCTAAGGGGAGAAAGCATACAGGAGGAAAAGGGAAAGGCAGAAACTTGAAGCGTTTGATGTGCCCACTGTAGAGGAGCTAATATAGTAACCTTAAAATGACAGAGGTCATTTTAAAAGATCATTCCTGGTCACTATGGGAAGGTGACCAGGAAGTAGTAAAGAGGTCTGGTAGAGATGAACCAATTCAGGTTGTAATACACATGTGCACAGAAGTAATGCTAGGAATCTCTCTGTATAGCTATCCTTATCTCAAACTAGCAAAACCACTATGTCTTTCTTATTGCTTATGTCTACTCTTCAACAAAATTGGAGAAGAGGACAGAACAGGTTCTGCCTGGAAGTGAGGGAGATGGGGGGAAAGGGAGGATGTGGGGAGTAGGAGGGAGAAATGGCCCAAACAATGTATGAACATAGGAATAAATGAATGAATAAACCGAAAAAAAATATGTAGGCCTCTCTCCTCACATTACACCTTTGGTACACACACTTCATTCTGCACCTTTTGCTGATTTACCTAAAAGTGTCAAATGAATCACCCATCAAACATTTACAGCCATATTCCCAATTACTGCTAATTACAACTTGAACCCAAGAATTGGAATTTAGCTCCAGAAAGATAAAAAGAGTTCAGGACATTTAGAAAAAGGCCTTAATATACCATATTACAATAGAGGCAGCCAGGATTGTAAAACTTTAAAAACTTGCCAGAGGCTATCTTGCCAGGAAGTGATGCAGGTGGTGTACAAAAGAGCATTTTTATGTAGATTCCCCTTCAGCACAATCCCTGTCTCATAATGAGAACACAATAGTATACACTTATTTCATGAGAAAATAAGTCAATAAAGGAATAAATTCATTATAATATTGCTAAACCCATTGGTCTTTGTTTTGTTCCAATCCTTTGATCTCTATGGTGTTCAATTCCTGAACTGCCTCCCTTTGAGCGGTTCTGTGCTAGCCTATAACTTCTCAGACTGCCCTTCTAGAACTCATCTTCCTTCTCTGCCCATCTAAATACAAGAGCTCACAGGTTGTTAACTTATTTCTGTTTCTTACACCCATGTTCTCATTACTTGTCACTCAGCTACTTGCAATGATCTCTAATCTTCCCTTTAAACCAGTCCATATGCTATGTCTGGCATAAAATTCTCAAAGTTCTGCCTTCATCTTTCCACCCATTCCATAAGAAATCCTTCACTAGCTTCCCATTTTCTGCCAAATACACATAAAATCACTAAGTCTAGCAGTTAAGTGTTCTATAATTTGGTCCTTTCATTTTACTTCTCATTTTATTCTTCTTCATGTAATTTACACTTTGTATGTTGCAGTATAATTGGGTGTTAAGAGTGCCTGCTTAACAATCCAATCCTCTAGACTTGTGATTTAGCTCTTGCTCTGACTAGTTGTATGACATTGGGAGTTTAACCTCTGTATACTTCAGTTCCTCTGTAAAATGGGGACTAACGATGTTGATGCTGCCTAAGAGAGCTATTGTAAGCAGTAAATATAAAGCACTTAAGTATCTGGCACATAGTTATGACTCTTCTAATCTTGTCTTAATTCTTTTAAAACTAGTAAAGTACTAACTGGCCATACTCCAAAGCCTTCCCTAAAAAAGTAACATCAAAGTTTATTTATTTGTTTGGGTTTTTTTTGGTGAGATGGGCTTGAACTCAGGGCTTCATTCTTGATAAGCAGGTATTCTACTGCTTGAGCCACACCACCAGTCCAAAATAGTAGCTTCAAAACATCCTGGTAAAGCTCTTAAAGAACTCATGACATAGTGCTAATAATAGCCTCAAAAAATTAAATTTCCATTACCATAGTAGCTATTATTTCTGCATATTAATTTTGGCATTGCAAAGTATCTATGACAGGATGCCTTACTCCTCTGCTTCTGAATAGAAAATGAAAGGTGTTCTAAATAGCAGTAATTCTTTGGCAAAATTCATTTTAGGATTATACCTTATTTCTAATCAGAGAAGTCACACCTTTTTATGGTTCTCATAATAAAATTGCACTGATGCTAAGATGTAGTAAAAATAAACAAATCCAGACTTATAAACAGCACTTCAAATTTGTCCTGAAGCAAAACTAAAATCAAGAACACTACAAGAAATCTGAGTTGGCAAACAAAACTTGTCTTACAGGATGATATGTTACAATGTTGAAAAGGAGTTGGCTTTTGTGTCCTAAGTTTGGAAGCAAATACTATGTGATTCAGACATGTTTAATGAGTAAAGGATAAACCCCTAAGCTAAAGAGTGGGACAGAAGAATAAACACCATGGAAGAGAATGACAATAAAAAGTAGTTAAAATTTGATTGTGAGAGAACACAATCTAAATGTGTTCTCTAAATCTCAATCTAAATCTGAACATCTAAATGTTTTAGGTGTTTAATTTTTTTAATCCTCAAAACCACACTTTAAGAAAAAGGTACTGTCTATCCTATCACATAGATGGAGGCATTATAGCACAGAGAAATTACAACCTGCCTAAGGATTCCCACATAGTAAGCAGTAAAGCTGGGACTTGAACCCATACACACAAAAATCCATGTTCTTCATCACTATGCTATATGGACTCTCAAAATTCTTGCATTACCTTGACACCAGAAAATATAAAGATTGACATGAAAGGCATCTCCACAGGTCACCAAGATGATTATATACCAGATTTCATTAAATTAAGAGGTTTCCAGCAATAAGAAACCTGAGGCTCTTGTCATATCTCCAACCTAGGTACATGGTAGTCAAGAGTTCTAGGGCTTTGGAACCACCATTAAAAATCTCAGTGTGAATAAGCAATAGTTCAAGAAATTCTCGAGAACTAAATTCCAGATAACTGTGAATGTCCATTTCCCAGTAAACTCATTATGATGTTCTCAGTCAGTATGTGTCCTTCATAAAAAGATACCTAAATAAAACTATAATGTAACAAGTTTGCTAGTAGAACAATTGTTTCTGATGAGCCTTAATGAATCAGAAAGACTGCAAGGATTCATGGGTAAGACATGAAGCTAATTCCTGGTAGACATTTTTGTTCTAGAGTTTTCTCAGAATAAAGTTAGTAAGTTGGTGTCTGAAATTTGTGCATAAGAATCCAGGAGTAGTAGAATAGACCTCAAAATTACATTACAGTATTTTAATGAAATTACTATTAATTACTGAATCTAAAGACAAAAGGAACTAGAATTAATTCTATTGAGGAAAAAAAGACCCAGAAAGAGCAACCCTCTTGCTAACAATAGAATTTATACAACACAAAACTTGTGATGCATGTAATGTCCTAATTTTCATTTTAGACTTTTCTTACTCTTCATTTCCCTATTAGTTTATAATAGTCCCCCAAAAAACCTTTTCAGATTGAGAATAAAAAACTAACTTCCATAGCCTGGGATATGCTGAAGAAGCATTAATTGGTTTTAGGAAGTCTCATAGGTCCCTGGCCACCTGTAAAGTTAGGAAGAGAAAATAATAGGCAGTTGTACACAAAAAGGGAGCTTAAAATCACCTGTTAGAAGTGGAAACATTTTATAAAAACACTTCAAATGTTCAAACTTACATCTAAAGAATCTGCTACATTTGCTTACCTGCACTTTTAGGAATCTGTTTCCCAAAGGCCCTCTCTGTTCCTGAAAGTAAAGAATGTGGTAGGAAGGACCAGGATATGAAGGATCAGGAAGCTGTCTGCTGAACTGTTGAGGCCTCTCTACTAGAAACACAAGACCAAGGGTTGTGCGTCTTCTTCACTTGCAAATGCTGAAATAAAACATAAAGACAGCATACTTACAAGACTGGCTAAGTTATATATGAAAAATTTAAAGCCATTTTTAAAATTTAATGAAAACACTATGTTAATAAACTCACGTATTATTCCCTAAAAACTGCTTTACAGGATGATGAAATTACCAAACACAAAAACGAAATGAAACAAACAAAATAATCCAACAGCCAAACCAACAACACATATTACATTACTGTCATTCATGACTGACTTTCCAAAGGATCCAGTTCAGTCTTCTTGAAAAAATAACATATCCAGCTCAATTAATCCAAAGCAACCTGGTAATGAAAGAACCATCTGTCTTATTTCCAGCTTCTCTTCACACACACGGCTTTATTGTTAAACACAGTGGTGACAGAAGGAGCTATTGGCCCTCAGAACCCAAAGAGGAAGTGAAAAGAGGGAGAGTCAACATTGAAGAGGAGGTTGAGAAGTATGAAAATATCTAGAATAAAGTGAGCAGAAAGGAAGCATGGGTGAATTAGCAGTAGCAGTAGCAGCTAGTGTCAGAATGTGCTATGCTCCACTTCCGGGGGGGCGCGGGGCGGGGGACTTTCCTCCTCCTACAGTTTACCTTATATAAGATTAATCCTGACACAAAAAACTAACCAATAAAATCTTCATGCTCTCTTCATCAGTAGAAAGTATTTTTAAAAAGTGCTAAGAAACACAGCAACAGATGTGGCTCAAGTAATAGAGCACCTGCCTCTCAAGCAGGAGGTCCTATTTTCAAACTCCAATACTGCCAAACAAAACAACAACAACAAAAAGGTCACAATCATTTACAAAAATTCTTGGGAAACAAAAATCAAAAAAAATAAACATGGTGAATATTTTACTTCAGGAGTTACTTAGGAAGTCTAGTGTCCTCAAGGAGAAATAATTATGCTTTGAAAATCATATAGTCACATGCAAAAATGGATTTCAACAAAAAAAACAAAAAGTTGAATGCAGTAAGATTATTTTTTTGTGTGGAAGACAAATTGATGAAAAACATTAAAGAAAAACATAATTGGTTAATGCATTGAATTGTGGATTACAGGGGGATTTTTTTTCTTAAAGTGCATTCATTTTAAAATTTGTAGAGATATATTTGACTGATTGAATGCTTTATAGCATCTAAAAAGAATGGACCAGCTTTATTAATCATATGGATAGAATTTAAAGCCAGTACTATAGAGTGAAAAAACATAAATTTCAGAATATTGTGTGTTATCTACATAACACTAAACATCATTTCAAACAGCGTCAGATACTGTAGAAGGCTTATCTGGGTATCTTTCAAAGTTATTATAGTAGTGGTCCCTAGAAGAAGAGGAACAGGGTAGAGAAAGAAACACAATCCACGTTAATAGAAGTTTAAGAACAAGGTTAAGAGTGTAGCTCAGTGGTCGAGCACTTGCCTAGCATGTATGTGGCCTTAGGTTTGATTCCTAGCACCACAAAAAAATAATTCAAGAAGATATGATAATTTGGGTTAATAGGTTCATTCATTATATTACCATTTGATATCTATGAACAGTTTCGTAGTAAAAAAATTCTGTGTAATATTTCTTAATAAGGTACTTTCTAACTAATAACCATATATTTATCGAGACTCTGAAATGAGACTGAAGCTGTTGTTTAATGTGTCTAGTGTTTTGTGATGTCATTCTGTGAAAAATGAGATTAACAGAATTAGTTTTGAAGTTTTATTACTTTACTTTATTTAATTTATGTTTTTGGTGGTCCTGGGATTTGAATTTTTTGCAATATGAGGTAGGAACGCTAACACTTGTGCCATGCCTCCAGCCCAACAGAATGAGGTCTGAACATGAGGAAAACTTCCAGTTGACCTTGCTCCTGAGAAGCTATAATAGTTTTAAGGTCAGGAATAGACTGAGTCTTATACCCACAAAGATGGCATGGGAGACTTTTCTTGTCCCCTTTAAAGACACACAATTTTATAGCAATCACTGGGAAAAATTACTTTAGAGTTAAGTTTTTTTTTCACATCTTGTATTTCCATTAACTGTAGTATCCTGAATTCATAAATCCATTCATTCATTCATTGTTTTTGATTACTTACATCACAAGTGGCCCATTATCCAACAACCTGTTACTATCTTTAAGTAGCCTAAATAATAGAAAGTTCTTTCTGTCAATGAGTTCAAACATAACTCCTTGAATTTTTTATTCATTGGCCTGGCCTAACCCCCTGGTGGTCTTCAGAACCTTGCTAATTCCTATTCTTGAATGCCCTTCAAAAATTAGACAGGGCTACTTGTTTCTGCCCTTTACTTAAGCTTTTCCAGGTTTAACTAAATCCCCATCCACCAGCTTTTTCAAGCACGACATTGATCTGTTTAGACTAAATAATCTTAGAGAACCTTCCCACTTTAAAATTGTGATTGATCTTTGACTCCAATTAGTAACACATAGTAGTGTGTAGATGGTGAGAGAAACCCAGGTATTGTACTTTTATACATTTAGAGAGAATAATGCTGATGCACAACTTTATCATGATGCATAATTTCTTTAGGTTCAATTTTTTTTTTTTTGTGGTACTGGGGCTTGAACTCAGGGTCTTCCTCTTAAGCCACCCAAACAGCCCTATTTTTGTGAAGGGTTTTTTGAGATAGGGTTTTGCATACTATTTGCCTGGGCTGCTTCGAACTGTGATCCTCCTGATCTCTGCCTCCCAAATAACTAGGATTACAGGCATGAGCCATTGGCTCCTGGCTCAAATTTCTGTCTCATAGTGAAGACTTCTTTATTAGTAGCTGCTAAAGAACATTACTACATTTAGGAGGTTTTCAGAAAATTGCTTATCTAAATGTTATCTTAGAGCCAAATCTCATTTGACCAATTTACTAAAAACAGTTTGCTAGGTCAAAAAATCCATCAAATAACTAAAAATGCTTTAAGATTGAAATTTCATTTTTTAAAGTTTTTTTCTGAAACATAAACCTTTCATAATTCAAGTTATACAAAAATACCTAAACATTTAAAATACTATTACTCTCTGAAAAAATGGAAAGTAAACACTACTTAAAATGAGAAAAAATTTTTCTAGCTTATGTAAGCCTATAATAATCTTGTTAAAACAAAACATACTAAACAGAGTAAATGCAGAAAATAGTCTTATTGCAACCACTCATCATGATACAAACACTGCCTGGCAGAAAAAAATCAGCAGAGAAACATACCAACTGCTTCTCTGGAATGCTTTCTCCTGTGTTCTGGCCAGAAAATAACTTAAGGTGCAATCTTACAGAAAGTTACCACTTTTTTTTTTTTTCAGAAATAAAGGATTGTGGGCTGGGTGTTGTGGCACATCCCTATAATCTCAGCTATGCAAGAGGCAGAGGTAGGAGGATGTCAGACTGAGACCTATCTTGGTCAAAAATGTAAGCCTCAATAATATCTGTAAAATAAACTAAAAATCAAAAAAAGTTGGGGGAATGTCTCAAGTGGTAGAACACTTGCCTAACAAGTACAAGGCCCTAAGTTCAAACCCCAGTACTGCAAAAGAAAAAGAAAAAAAGGTTTGTAAAATGCCTACTATGTGCCAGAGACAATGTCTGAAAACTGGACAATTGAACATAGCCATGAAGTGCATTCATTATATTTGATCTTAAGATTAATAAACAATAATCAATTTAAATTAATTGCAAATTTTTTGGTTAAGAACATTATAACAAATTTAATGTCATATGTAACAGAAGTAACTAATATGTGATTAACTCATCTATGGGATTCCTATAACTTTAACATTATCTATTTTTTCCAATTTTTTATTATATTTTATTATTGTACTAGGGGCACATTGTGCATTTACAAAGGTTCTTACTATATACCATAGTTGAATTCACCCACTCCATCATTCTCCTTTACCCCCTCCTATTCCTGAAATGGTTTCAGCAGGTGTCATTTTTCCATTTTCATACGTGAGGACGTAATATTTCCACCATATTCACCTCCTACACCCATTCCTTAGATCCTCCCCCTCCCACTGGTACTAGTCCCTCAGGCAGGACCTATTTTGCCTTCCTGGTCTCTGTTTTGTTTTGTTTTTTAATTTTAAAAAGACATATTTGTTTGTTTAAAATAGCTATGCAGGGAGTTTCATTGTGACATTTCCATGTATATATAAAGAATCTAAGAAAACCTCAAAAGTTAGATATTGTTTTAAAAAGTTAGATATTTCAAAACATGGGTAACTACTTACTAATGATCTCATTTTTCACACATAAAACAATCCAGTGTAGAAAATACAAAAATAAGTAAATAAATGAGCAGCATTTCTCTTCTGGTAGAGAAAGGGGAAGGAAAGTGGCTTCTAACAGATTTCCAACAAAGTATACACCATCCCCAAGAAGGTAAATTTAAAAAAAAAGAAAAGAAATCTGAGCTCCCAATGAAAGAAGTAACTCCAACACATAGAGAGTCAACATGAAGTCTAACTTTTCAGCTCAACTTTCACAAACAACTTGAAAAATGATTTAGCACATTCCATAGGCAAGCCAAGGAGATACCACCTCTTCCAGATCCCTGGCTTAAGCCCTACAAATCCTCATGGGCTGAGGTGAACCCTCCCAGGCTCAGGAGGCAGCAGTGAACTGAATTGAAATTCATCCCACTAGTAGTTTAGGGAGAAAACCAGCCAGGCAGGTGGAACAGCTCCAAATTTATCTACCCCCATCCATCTATCCACTTATCCATCCATCCCAGAGACTCACTGCCTATTTATCATGTGCCACAGAATCTCAAGAAGCAAGGACTGAGCTGAGAGATCACAGACGTACTATAGGCAAGTCCCCAGAGTCACATTTAAACACACAAT